ACTGAGCTGGAAAGTGAAATCACTCCATAGGAAATCAGTTCTGGTTGGCTCCAACCAGGACCCACAGTCTGTGCATGGCACCAGTTCCTGGTCTGAAAGTGCTGCTTTGGGAAGGACGCTGGGCACAGGAGGTAGAGACTCCCCTGGGCTGTGGGAACATCCGAATAACCCCCCTCTCTTCTTTCTCTTCCAGACCTGCAATCACGTGTCAGTAGTCGAGAGAGACGTGGTCCTGATGGATCTCCGATAGATCTCTTGCCTTAACCCTTCACAGAAAACCGTCTACCTTCCTTCTAGGCCTAGGGGAATGTTTCTTTTCCTCCTGTAGCAGATGATTTCTACCGTGTAGTGACCCTTCCCCTTTCTCCCCCAATAATCGCGGTGAAATCGGTACCCTGACCTCCGTGGGAGCACGTGAAACCTCAGTGCCTGGCCTGGGGCTGGCGAAGCGGTGCTGAGGTTCAAGGTGTGGGGAAAAAGTGGGAGTTCAAAGACAACAGCTAACACTGAAGCAATTATTTAATACTCTAATCCATGCCTCAAACACCGTTTTGGGGGCGTTCCCTGTGATTTGCTGCAACCATGAGGTGTGGAAACCTCTTCAAGTGCTTTCCAAAGTGGGACTTGCCCAAATTAACCCCTGTTTTGTTTTGCCCCTCTCTCTGGGTTGCTCTGGTCGTGATGCTGGAGCAGATAAGTCCTTGCTATAGTTTAAGATTAAACCCTCCTAACCCCTCTCACCCCCTGCAAGAGTCGAAGCACGTCCTGCTCACCACTACCCAGGTCTCTGCCCAGTGAGGTAAGAAGGGGAGCACCCTCCTTTGGGAACCCCCGTTTTGGGGAAGAAGATGCCTGGATGCGGCACTGCTTTGCACAGACTGCACCCCAGCAGTGGTGAGGGGTTTCTGCTTGCTTTATTCCTCTCCATGGATGGGGGCTTTGCCCATGGGCTGCCCGATGAGGGCTTGGGTTTGGTTTGGTTTGGTTTGGTGGTACCATGGAGGAGGCTCTCGGTCTCTTGGCTGTGGTGGTGTCATGCGAAGGCTCTGCAAGGCCATCACCTCTCCACCATCTTGTGCCACTTCCATCCTCCAAAATCACCACCCCAAACCTCCTCTGTGCTCCTCAAAGCAATGTGAAGTCTGCCCTGGCCAAAAATGAGCTCTCCATGCTGTCTGTTATGCGGTACACCGGCCAGGACCCTCCAGATTCACTCTCAGCAGCAGTGATTTTTCCTTCCCGGCACTGAAAGGGAAGCAGCAGCACAGGAAGGTGGGGAGCATCAGCTCTGAAAGGGCAGAGCATGACCCAAACCACCTCCTCATCCCCTGGCAGGACGCTGGGATGAGCCTGGCATCTGTACACACGTGTTCTCTACGTCCTGTCCTGCATATGGAGTTATTTGGAGTTTAACATGATGGATTGCGTTACCTGTGCTGGGTTTCTTTTGCATCCTTCGAGCTGACTCTGTGGGTTGGAGGGGTCTGGTGTGGACCAGAGCGGGGAGGGAATCGATTTATTGAGGGGTTGGGGCTATTTGCCACAGCCACCTCCTTGATTCCTGTGTGACAAACTGCTCCTGCCACGGCTTTTGTGGTCGATTTTGGAAAGGGGCTACCCCAGGAGTGAAGGAAAGGGACTTTAGGGCGTCTGTGGGAACCGACTTTTAGACTTCATTTATTGAAACCCCTGTGCCCAGAGAGGTTGTGGAGTCTCCTTCTCTGCAGACATTCAAAACCCGCCTGGACGCCTTCCTGTGCAACCTCATCTGGGTGTTCCTGCTCCGGCAGGGGGATTCTGCTCAGGGGGGTGGGTTTTTGCAGCCTGGGTGTGGGAGTTTTCACCCCACACAGTCCGCTCTTCACCCCGGCACATCGTGGGGACACAAATCCTTCAAATGGGTGATAAATATCAACAAATTCATCCCAGTTTCCTATCCCTGGAGGTTTTGGGTCTGAGCTGACCCCAGCATCGAGCAGGAGCCGGTGGCAAATCACCGCTTCCTTCCCACGTCGGCCCAGTGACCGACAAACCCTCGCGGAGGATTTTTCGGATGCCGTACGCGAGGGCTGCGTTTCCCACGGCAGCGCCCAGCTGCTGCCTCGCACCCGGCCTTTTCATCACATTTTCTTCACTGAAAAGTCCCTGAGTCATCAGTTTGTGCGCCGGGCTGAGCGCTGCTACCCTGGCGCTGCCGCCCCCGTCCCGCTGACCCGCCACATGCGACCGTTCCACCTTCAAATCCCTTCAAACGGGCTTGAATTTGGCAGGAGCTAAAACCCTAAAGAAGCCGTGCTTTGCAGGGATGATTTCTTTCCCGCAGCGCCGCGGGTTGTGTGTTTTTGGGGTTTCCTGCAGGCAGGGAGCGATGCTTATCTGTGCCTCAGGGACGAGACCAGACCCAAATCCCCACCCCAGCTCTCAGCGCTGCTCCGTCCGTCCTGGGTGAGGTTTAAACCTCCCAGAGCTTTAAAGCGCCACCGTTCCCCTTATACGGAGGTGCCGAGGGCCGGTCTGTGCACCGGGAGTTTAGAAATCTCACGGCAAACCGTGCGTTTCCCCCCTCCCCATGCCGCTCTCAGCCCAACCGGGGCCGTGGGATGCTTTTCGTGCCTGCCAGCATCCCGGGGCGGCCGCGCCGGTGTCCGGATTGGCTGCGCTGGCCCAACCTTTCCTTTTTAGGCTGCGCACGGGGCTTTGCCGCCGCCGTCTCCGCTCCAAACCGCTCGGGCCGAGGCTTTGCATCCCAACCGGCCGCGGTGCCCCCCAATTTTGGGAGTCAGTCCCACAGGGATGGGGCGCTCGGAGCCCACCCAACAACCAGGGAAGGGAAGGCAATGAGGCTCAGTGCCGTGGAGCGGGGTCTGAGGTCCATACCCTGCGCTCAGGGGGTGTCTCCATGGCTTTGGGCGCCGTTCCCCCCCGCTCTGATGTGGGGCAGGGCAATGCCACTGGCTCCATCCACTCCCCAAATTTTTTTCTCTGCTCTGCTGGGTTTGGGGTTAATTTTTATCAATTTTTTGCAGTATGTCATATATGGCAACCTTTTGCCTCAGTGACCTCATGTTTGGCTGTGGACCAAGGCGGCTGCAGGTCACCGGGGCTCGGGGCGTGCGGTGGGGACAGCGACAAGTGCACGGGGACACAGGAGACAAATCCAGCCCCTGCTGCTGAGGTTTTTCCTGGGCTAACCAGGGTAAAGCCACCGATTTGGGACACCTTTTGAAGTCCTTATTGCTGTCTCTCACAAAGTAGGACGCAGCTTGGGCACCCCGTGCCTCAGTTTCCCCATCTGCACCCTGAGTGCTCTGGGTGGTGGCTGCTGGGTTCCCCCCCTGCTCCGGGTGCTCGGGGAGAGTCCCCGGAGCGGGACCATTGCCCTTAAAAAGGCAGCGGGGATTTTGGCAGCCGCTGGTTGGCCCCCGCGGCTCCTCTCATCCATTGCCAAGGCTGTGGCCTCGGGCCTGGGGGTGGCTCCAGCTCCCCCCAAAGCTGCATTTGGGCAAGGGGAGCAGGGCACAGCACCCACATGGTCCCTGAGGGGTGTTTGGGCTCATCCCACCTCCAAAATCCTCCCGTGAGGGGTGAGGGATGGGTGCACCCATGATGGACCCACAGGTCTTGGCCCTGCTCGGGATGAGGATTTGGGGGATGAGGGGACTTTGGGGCACCAACAGCCCAAAAATGGGGGCAGAGAGAGGAAAACCCCAAGGAGAGACATCCCAAAAGTGCCGGGTGCCAGGGAGATGCAGGGAAACCGAGGCCGGGAGGAAGCGATGCTCCAACCCCATGCGTTTCCAGCCTCTCGGCACTGCCAAATTCCCATCCCAGCCCCGGGGTGTCCCCCACAGCACAGCCCTGACCTGCATCTCCAGTGGGGGGGTTTCTCCACACTCTCCCCTTGACCCACCCTCCCCCCTTGACCCCCAGCCACTTCCACCTCCTTTTTGCCGAGCCCGTCGCTTATAAGGACTTGAGTCTCGCTTGTTTATCGGCGCGGAGCATAAAAGGCACGGGCTCACAAATGGGATGTTGCCTCCCAAGCATCCCCGCATACATTTTTCTTACAATAATTAACCGGGCCGGGTCCTCCCGTCAGTCCAAGGTCAATTTAATGAAATAAAACACCTTATATGGCCATATGGCTAACACACCATCACTTAGCCTATTTAGGGTCTTTGTTTAGAGAGGATCCGCCTCTGAGGTTTCACGGGCTCGCTGGTATTTATACCAAAGGCGCAGCGGGGCTCGGTCCCAGAGGAAAGGAGCTCTCGCCTCCGCGGTGAGTACTGCCCTGCCTTGATTTCCCCTTTTGCATGAGGAAAAGCGGGGAGGAAAAACACCCCAGGGGGGTTTGGGGGTGCCCCAGTGCTTATGATGTGACCCCGGATTGATTCGCATGGCATGGGGGGGTGGCAGCCCCAAAACGACCCCGCAGCCGGGGGCTTTTGAAGCTGCGGCCAAAGCGGGTCGTGCTCTTCCAGAAATCCCTGTGGTTTTGGTTTATCTTTTCTCTCTGGGGCTCCTGCGAGATTTTTTTCTGCTTTCCTCTGGATTTGGGAGTGTGTCTGCCAGCAGAGGGGGGGCACCCCCTGGGAAGGGCTATTTTGTTCCCATTTTTGGGAAAGGATGCGAAAGCAGAGCAGCGAGGGGCTGCTGAGATGGGACTGAACGTTGAGGCCATCGCCTGCCGTCCCCCTGCCCGCTCGGGGGGCATCACCAGGGACGGTGACACCGGAGCCCCCTGGGGAGGAGGTTTCGGCACCCGTTTTGGGCACCGCCTGGCAAAGGATGGAGAAGCAGCATCGGTGCCAAGCAGCGCCCATGGGGGCCGAGCACCAACCCCGCTCCCAGCATCGCCGCACTGGGGCTGGACCCGATGAAGGATTTTTTGGGGCTGTGCATCCTCAAGGACTCAAACCCCAAAAGCGGACATCGCGGTGTGGCGTAACCCTCTCCCCATCACCCTTTAACGCTGTTACCCCTCCCTTTGCCCCAGCTTTTGCCCCAGATCCCCCTGAACACCAACCACTCCCAGCCCCACCATGTGCGACGAGGAGACCACAGCCCTGGTCTGCGACAACGGCTCCGGCCTCTGCAAAGCCGGCTTTGCTGGCGACGATGCCCCCCGCGCTGTCTTCCCCTCCATCGTGGGGCGGCCCCGGCACCAGGTGGGTACCCGGACACCCCCTCAGGTACTGAGCTAATCACTGAAACGTGGCTAACGAGGCCGTTTCTCTCGTTAGGGCGTCATGGTGGGCATGGGGCAGAAGGACAGCTACGTGGGCGACGAGGCGCAGAGCAAGAGGGGTATCCTCACGCTCAAGTACCCCATCGAGCACGGCATCATCACCAACTGGGATGACATGGAGAAGGTGAGGATCCCCCCCGGGATGGGGAGTGGGGGCTGAGCCCAGCTTCGGTTTGGGGTAAGAGCCCAATTTTGCTTTTCCCGCCCTAGATTTGGCACCACTCCTTCTACAACGAACTGCGCGTGGCCCCCGAGGAGCACCCGACGCTGCTCACCGAGGCCCCCCTCAACCCCAAGGCCAACCGGGAGAAGATGACCCAGGTAAGGCACCACGGAGATCACAGAATCACAGGATGTGAGGAGTTGGAAGGGACCTGGAAAGCTCCCCCAGTGCAACCCCTGCCAGAGCAGGATCACCAGAGCAGTCACACAGGAACACGGCCAGGGCTTTGGGTGTCTCCACACAAGGAGACTCCACAACCTCTCTGGGCAGCCTGGGCCATGCTCTGTGCCCTCACACTGACAAAGTTTGTCCTCATGTTCACATCAACCTCCTGTGCTCCAGCTGCACCCATTGCCCTTGTCCTGTCATGGCCATCCCAGAGCAGAGCCTGGCTCCTTCCTCCTGACACTGCCCTTTCCAAATGGATCCCAGGAATGAGGGCACCCCTCAGTCTCCTCTGCTCCAAGCTCAAGAGCCCCAGCTCCCTCAGCCGCTCCTCAGCAGGAGATGCTCCACTCCCTCCATCACTTGGTGGCCCTGCTGGACTCTTTCAAGCAGTTCCTGTCCTTCTGGAGCTGAGGGCCCAGCACTGGACACAAGATTGCAGCTGTGGTGTGAGCAGGGCAGAGCAGAGGGGCAGGAGAACCTCTCTGCCCTACAACCACCCCTTCTCATCCAGCCCAGGATGGCGTTGGCCTTCTTGGCTCAAGGGCACATTGCTGGCTCAGGGGACAGACCCCCCCCAGAACCACAGGAGGGGATCTGGGGGTTCAGTGAGCCAGTAGGGGCTGAAGCAGGGTGAAATTTGGGCACACACCCCCCTATTTTTCCATGCGTGTTTGGCCGTGACCCCGTCTCTTTGGGAAGGCACAGCCCCTACGTGTTTTGGGGTGATGCCACTGGGGTCCCCCCTGACCCGCTGCCCTTCTCGCCCTCCCTCCCAGATCATGTTTGAGACCTTCAACGTCCCCGCCATGTACGTCGCCATCCAAGCCGTCCTGTCCCTCTACGCCTCCGGCCGCACCACCGGTAAGTGGGACGTGCATCCATCCGTGGTGGGGAAGGGCCCATGATGGCTTCGAGCCCCCTCCCTCACCTTTCTCCCCCCTTCCCAGGCATCGTCCTCGACTCCGGGGACGGCGTCACCCACAACGTGCCCATCTACGAGGGCTACGCTCTGCCCCACGCCATCATGCGTCTCGACTTGGCCGGCCGCGACCTCACCGACTACCTCATGAAGATCCTCACCGAGAGGGGCTACTCCTTCGTCACCACCGGTACGGGGCCAGGGAGGGGGATACGGGGTGACGGGGGACCCCACGGCGCTGCCGTGGCCCTGGGGTGATGTTTTGCCATCGTGTCCCGCAGCCGAGCGGGAAATCGTGCGTGACATCAAGGAGAAGCTTTGCTACGTGGCCCTGGACTTTGAGACCGAGATGGCCACGGCCGCCTCCTCCTCCTCGCTGGAGAAGAGCTACGAGCTCCCCGACGGGCAGGTCATCACCATCGGCAACGAGCGCTTCCGCTGCCCCGAGACCCTCTTCCAACCCTCCTTCATCGGTGAGCGCCCCCCAAATTGTCCTGGGTGGGCTGCCCCCCATTCCCACCACCCCATCAATGGGCAACCGGCTCCCACTGAGCCATTGCGGGGCGGACAAACCCATGGGTGACCCGGTGGCTCTTTTGGGGAGCCCTGAGGATGCACGGGTGGGGGTCAGGGTGCTGACAGCCCCCTTCCCACCCCAGGCATGGAGTCGGCCGGCATCCACGAGACCACCTACAACTCCATCATGAAGTGCGACATCGACATCCGCAAGGACCTCTACGCCAACAACGTGCTGTCCGGCGGCACCACCATGTACCCCGGCATCGCCGACCGCATGCAGAAGGAGATCACGGCGCTGGCTCCCAGCACCATGAAGATCAAAGTAGGTGCGGGA